ATGTGAAATTAAATTCTTACCTTGTTAGCCTGTAGTCTGTGTCGACGTCAATTAGGAGATACAACTTTTTGGTTCTTAAAAACCACGTGACTTTGAAAGATGTTTTATGACAAATTGGCGTATATAAGATACCACATTTTGTTTTGTAGAAAATTTCACGAATCAGAATACGAGGTTTAGTCACATGCCTATAACTTGAGTTCTAACTGGATTACAACTACCGCGAATAGAGCATTCGATGCGCCATTAATTTACGATTCTAACCATGTAAAAAACGTTTTTGGCGCCAAAATTGATATACATGGTTTTGATCGCCCACCGATGATATGTTGTTTGCATTAGTGAGATGAAGAAGCCTATTTAATTTCAATATTCAACAATTTCTGTAGAACCTTGTGAACCCTCAAACTGCAAAAATTATAATCTGATATGTATGGAACTGCCAATTACCTACAACGGAATAAATATGCGACAACCCTTGTCGACCGCTCGGACGATTTGGCTGCTGTGGGCATATGTTTCGTTGCCTGGGAACCTATCTTTTAGATTGTGGTCCCTCTATACCTCACAATTTTTATCCAATTTAAAAAAAACGTTTGAATATTTTACCGTTACATGGTTGAGTTAGAATTTCCTGAAAATCAGACCAAGACTGATGGACAAAATGGCTACCCCTCATACTCAAATAGTGTAAATATATGGCATATCAAGATTGTGGACCATCTAGAAGACACAATTCTGATCCGATTTTTATGAAACTTGAAATATATCTTTGTAACTCAAAGATCTTGGTTCCTGTCGATATTCGCGCATATCGGATTGTAACTTCCTTAATTATGACCCTAGATTGTACTCAAAAACGGCTTGTTTTAGCTTGTTCTCTATCCATATCTTGCAAAATGTAAACCTATCCTGCCTGGCTGCCGTTGGTTTTACGTCCACATCGGATATTGGCATCGTATGGAGCCCGGTAAGGACGCAAAATAAAAAAAAATATCTAGCGCACCAGATAATAACTGGCGCGTGCCAGATAATAACTATCACCCGCCAGATAATAAATGGCGCACGCCAGATGATAAAGAACGTGCTCCAGATAATAACTGGCACGTGCCGGATAATAACTGGCGCGCCGGATAATAAATTATTAATTAGACCTTTATTCATATAATCTGCTCTCTAGACGTAGACCATCCGGTGTTTGTGATTTTTAATGGATGGAAACACAACCTCTATTAGATTATTTGCTTTAATAATCAAGATTTTATTTATTATCGTAACAATGGTAGCAAAGACAAAAGAGACCAGCTACTCTTATCAAAACTTCAAACAATGATTATTGACTGAAATTTTTCAGTATGTATTATTATAGCAAAAACGGTCAGCTCTTACTTTATCTAATTCTTACATCAATTGTCTTTAAGGTTTGGGCCGCCGAATGGTTTAACGCGTGCATAGTTTCAATTCCCGTCTTATACGTGACAAAGGTAGGGTCGTCTGTCAAACTCCATGGGTTTTCTCTGGGTCTTCCGGTTTCCTCCCACTGCTAATGACCCTTATGTTAGTCACACACACACAGTCTTTTCTTGAGCTTTCCATTAACAAAATATGATTTACATAATAAACAACGTTTTAGACTCTCGGGAATAACTTTAATACTGAATTTATTTTATTTTAATACTTCGAAGTTATAGCTGAAAGCTACTTATAGGATATAGTTTGGCGGATTTATCAGCTTTATGCTCCTTAAAATGTGTCACTGGGGTTTAATCTTTTTCTATTTAACACTTTAGTATTAAAGATCCAACAGAAATAGATTTTCAAAAACATGTACATACATGTATCATATCTAAAATTAAGTTGTTAAAAAGTATCAATACACATCAACCAAAAGAATTAAAATACAGAGTACCGCAAAGGCTCCGTATTGGGCCCATTGCTTTTTACAGCCTACACAGCTCCTCTTGGTGATGTCATTGGAGATCATGGATTAGACTACCATTTGTACGCCGATGACACCCAACTCTATGTTGCTGTAAATGAACTTTCTGAAACTGTGAAAATAACTATTCTAGAACAATGTATTTTAGACATTAAAACCTGGATGGAAACCAATCTTTTAAAACTGTATGACGACAAGACTGAAGTTATAAGATTTTCAAACCGTTTTAATAAACACAATTTAAAAACCAATGCAGTACATGTTGATAATAGTTCAATTGCATGTGTTGATACTGTAAAGAACTTGGGTGTTATATTCAACTCAAAGATGTCAATGAAAGCACAAATAACTGCAATGTGCAAATCCTGCAATTATCATCTGCCCCTATGCTGTGTAACAAACTTTCCCAACAAACCAAATCCAGCTCATTGGTAGATTTCTTGATCACATTTCATAGCATAGAATTAATTAATAGTAAACGTCAGCCTCCTAGCCTTAAAAAAATTACTCACTAGAGCTAAATTTCAAGCTTCTAGTAATGTTACGTTTACGACTTCTAAGTGCCATAGCCCACTTTGTAAATGTTGCCACCATATGATTATTAATACTGAATTCACTTTTTCTAATACTAATTATAGGTTTAGAATCAATGATAATATGAATTGTAGCCAGACGATATATCGAGAAAAAGACCTATGCAAACATTAATGCACAATCCAAATCGTTTTAACTTCTCATACGAATCAACGTGCCACACAGTTTGCTCCTATTCTATTATATTGTCTGCTCCTAAGTCAGTGACGTAAGCGACATTCCACACCTATACAGATCGAAAAGTTTCAGTATAGCCCGAACATATTCTTTTGAATAGTGTAACCACTTTGGATAGATTTTAAATGCATCGATCGATATTGAGTAAACAGGAACAGTGCTTTCTTCTGCCAAGTCCTGCATCTCGGAAAAGCCTCTTTAACTGTATAACGGATAATTGTATCTGATGATTTACCATGAGAAGGGTTGTTATTTTCTCATAACTAACACCCAAGTGGCAGTATTTACGAATTAGTTGTTTGCAAACGTATCACAAATATTGAGTTACTTGCTCGGCCCGTAGGTAGAGGGTTTTAAGGCATTTTAACACAAAATTAAGCAGTTTTATTCTCCAAAAAATTATCGTGATTGGCCCTTTAACGTATCATCTTGAAAATTTGCATTTGCATACTTATTCTTTGTACCCTAAGGAACATCCCTATTGTTTGGGGTGCATGCCCAACCCCCAGGGGGAGAGCCACGCCCATTTTCTTTTTATGTGTTTGTCGCCTACAGGCCACAATTCTTAATCGATCGTCTTGAAAAATTTTCATATGAATTCCTTGTATCTATTATTTTTGGTGCATGCCCAACCCCCACTGTCAGAGCCACGCCCATTTCTTGTATTTATTTGTTTGTCATCTACAGGCCGCATTTCTTAACATATCACCTTGAAACTTTGCATACGCATTCCTTCTATCCAAAGGAACATCCCTATTGTTTTTGGTGAATGCCCAACCCACAGAGGCAGAGCCACGCTCATTTTCTTTTTGTGAGTCTGTGTGTCACTTACGGGTCGCAATTCTTAATCGATCCTCTTGAAAACTTTTCATACGTATTCCTTATACCCTAAGACTGACCTCTATTATCATTTTTGGTGCATGCCCGACCACCTGGGACAGAGCCACACCCAATGTTTGTGTGTCTTGTGTTTCGCCTACAGGCCGCACTGTAGTCGATCCTCTTGAAAACTTTTCATACTTATTCCTTATTCTCTAAGGCTGACCTCTATTATTATTTTTGGTGCATGCCACAGCCCCTGGGACAGACCAACACCCAATGTTTGGGTGTCTTGTGTTTCGCCTACAGGCCGCAATTCTTAACAGATCCTTTTGAAACTTTGAATACCTATTCCTTATACATTATGGATGACCCCTATTGTTTTTTGGTGATTGCCCAACCCCCAGGAGCAGAGCCACACCCATTTTTTCTTTGTATCTCTGTGTGTTGCCTACAGGCCACGATTCTTAATGGGTCGTCTTTGAACTTGGGATATGTATTCCTTTTATAGCCTAAGGACGACAACTGCATGTCCCAACACCCAGGGACTGAGCCACACCCAATTTTTGTGTTTATTTTTTACAGTACAGGCCGCAATTCTGAATGGATCAACTTGGTACTTGGCATATGTATTCCTTATAGCCTAAGGGCATCAACTATTGATTTTGGTGAATGCCCTGAGCCCCCAGGATCAGAGCCACGCCCAATTTTTGCCTTTAGCGCCCAAAGGCCACAATTCTGAATGGATTATCTTGGAACTTGGTATACTTATTCCTATTGATGTTGGTGCACGACCCCCTCCACCAGCTCTCACCCTTTCTGCGGTGCCACACCCACGTTTTGTTGATATTTTGTCTGTAAATGATATACAGGTTACAAATATTAAGGCAAAAAAAAAAAATATTCTGTTTCTGGTAACCCGACCGACCCATTACAAAACCTGCCGATTCAAATATTTTTTTTTAGTGTCAAGAGAAATAAAAACCTTTTTTGTTCAACGAGCGACCATTCAGAATACACTAAGCCTACCGGATTCGTGAAAATGCCTATATTATTTGTTGCTATAAATGAATATAAATATCATCGTTCTTTAAATCTGCATTTTCTGCAGAAAATATAATGAATACACTTCAAGAGAAGATTGACTTTACTTTTCAGTATAGATATACATAATTTTGGATTAAGCACCACATTTTTATTATACGCCCACATTTCCATGTGGACGTATTATTATTATTATTATTATTATTACAGCATATTTATAGTGCACCCTTTCATATAACATGTTCAGGGGCACTTTACAAAGTGACAATGTAAATCACACATAAACAACAAGATTATGGGCATGTTAACGATTGTATACAGAGTCAGTTAAAAGCCTGATTAAATAAATGTGTTTTAAGTTGTTTTTTAAAAGAATATAGAGATGTATAACATCTTAAACTAAATGGTAGATTATTCCATAAAACAGGTGCTTGATAACTAAAAGAGCGCTGACCATAAGAGACTAGTTGAACACTTTTGGGCTTTAAAAGTAGTTTATCTGATGTATGTAATGTTCGGCCAGGTGTATAAAGTTCTAAAAGATCTGAGAGGTAAACAGGAGCTAAATTATTTAAACATTTAAAAGTAAGTAATAAAATCTTAAAATCAATTCGATATTTAACAGGTAACCAGTGTAAATTATATAAAACAGGAGTTATGTGGTCACATTTCTTAGTTAAAGTAACAAGTCTAGCCGCAGTATTCTGTACTTTTTATACGCCCACATTTTCATGTGGACGTATTATGCCGTCGCCCCTGTCCGTCCGTCCACAATTTGTTTGTGGACACTCTACAGGTCACAATTCTTATCCGATTTTGACGAAACTTGAAATATAGGTTTATCTCCAAAAGATCTCGGTTCCTTTCGATATTGGCATGTATCGGATCGAAACTTCATGGATTATGGCCCCTGTTTGTACGAAAAATCATGTTTTTAGCTTGTGGACACTATAGAGGTCACAACTTGAAATCTAAGTTGATAATCCAAAGATCTCGGTTCCTTTCGATATTCTCGCATATCGGACCGTAACTTCCTGAATTATGGCCCCTGATTGTACCAAAAATCGTGTTTTTAGCTTGTGGACCCTATAGAGGTCATAATTTTTATCCGATTTAAAAAAATGTATTATTATATCACAGTTACACCCTAAGGAAGGTTAAATTTGAATTTCGTGAAAATCGGCCCAAAATTGACAGACAAAATGGCCGCCGTTCATTCTCAAATAACGTAAAAATATGGTATATAAAGGTTGTGGACCCTATAGAGGTCACAATTTTTATCCAATTTTGTTGAAACTTGACATGTAAGTTTATAACCCACAGATCTCGGTTACTTTTGATATTTGCGCATATCAGACAGTAACTTCCTGAATTATGGCCCCTGATTGTACAAAAATCGCGTTTTTAGCTTGTGGACCCTATAGAGGTCATAATTTTTATCCGATTTAAAAAACCGTATTATTTTATTACCGTTACACCCTAAGGACGGTTGAGTTCGAATTTCGTGAAAATCGGCCCAAAATTGACAGACAAAATGGCCGCCGTTCGTTCTCAAATAGCGTAAATATATGGTATATCAAGGTTGTGGACCCTATAGAGGTCACAATTTTTATCCGATTTTGTTGAAACTTAAAATGTAAGTTTATAACCCAAGGATCTCGGTTCCTTTCGATATTTGCGCATATCAGACTGTAACTTCCTGAATTATGGCCCCTGATAGTACGCAAAAACGCGTTTTTTGGCTTGTGGACCCTATAGAGGTCATAATTTTTATCCGATTTAAAAAACCGTGCTAATATGTCACCGTTACACCCTAAGGACGACTTAGTTCGAATTTCGTGAAAATTGGCCCAAAACTGACAATGGCCGCCGTTCGTTCTCAAATAGCGTAAAAATATGGTATATCAAGGTTGTGGACCCTATAGAGGTCTCAATTTTTCTCCGATTTTGTTGAAACTTGAAATGTAAGTTTATAACCCAAAGATCCCGGTTCCTTTCGATATTCGTGCATATCTGTGGCTACCTTTTAACGCTCAAATGGGCATTATTATTATTATTACGAATCCTATGTAAGATCACCTTATTTTAAATTAGAGTCTGGACGTGCAAGTCTTAAGTTTGGTTGCTACGGCGACGTTTCCGCTGGGAAAGGGGACATGGCCATGCGGTTGACAGTTCAAGGCAGAATTTGACTTTGGTTTGCATTTGGATCGCTAGGTAGCGGTTCAACCTTTTGATATGTGTTGAATTTGTGATTTTACACTAATCACAACCGATGTCACGATGTTTCGATGTTTATATCGGTGTCCATATTGATGTCATTGACGATGTCTGTATGCCTGTAATATTGTCAGTATTGGTGTAATGTTGATGTCATGATTGTGATGATGTACATTGCCGCACTGTTCATGGATAATAAATTTGTTTGATTAACTCTATCGTAGTGTGCCGATATATATACGCACATTGAAGTTGTGATTATTCAAGCTATCGATTGTTCTAGTTTTATGGTTAACTTTCATAATGTCTGAAGAAGATAACAAGCAATGTGATGTTTCTGACGACGATAGTTCGTTTGGTTCGCAAGTCAGCCTCAAAATTTTACAACAGAAAGAAAAGTTGGCTCTAGCACGTTCTAAGAGGCAACATATTAAACAAAAAATGGAAGTTGCAGAAAGATTGACTAGGTTAAAAGCCGAGGAAGAATTATTAGATATTGAATTTGAAGAACAACAAGCACAGATTAGTTTAGAACTTTATGAAAAGGCTGAAAATGAAGACAAGAAATCTGATGTTTGTCGTGACCGAACATTATTGTCCCCTAGGTCTGATAAATTTGACTTTACTTTAGATTCGCCAGATAAAACATTCACCAGTGATGACATAAATTGTTTAACGCCGAGTGTAAATCGAAATTTACTTAATGGTGGTAGAGACTCTGTGGTTATTGATATAGAAGGGCCTGTCAATTTATTTGAATCTCCAAATTTAATTGTTAAATCAAATTGTAATAATTTACGTGTTGAGCACAATTCTGTATTATCAAATGTTGTACCTAAAGTAACTAGTGTAGATCATGATTATTCTATTGTAAGCCTTGCCTATGTCAATTAATAATGTTTGTTCACCTTACCAACAAAGTGTAGGTAGGCCTATGTATTGTAATGCTTTACCACAGTATAAATTTGTAATTAGGGAATCTGTTGTACAATCCGATACTAATAGAGTGAGTTGATCTGTTAATAATCATGTCTTACCTGGAACAAATGATAATAACATGTATGACAGTACTGTTTCTTCAATGTCACTGCCATCTAATTCTGCTAATTACTTACCTATTATGTCTGTTTCATCAAATATTTCATCTATTCCATATTGTTATGCAAATTGTAACATGTCTGTGTGTAATTCAACAAATTATAATTTTATACCTACTTGTACCATTGATGGTAGGCCTACATTCACAAATACTTTCACATCTTATAGTAATAATGTGCCAATCAGTCATGTTGTTCCCCCACACTCTAGTCCAAGTTCTAATTTAATTTATCATGTAAATACTGATAGGCAGAATAATGTTCATACTTACCCTCAGAATATTATTTCTGTTTTTAGAAGTGATGATTGTGATAACACTCAAAATACAACAAATGACTTAGTACAAAAACTGTGTCAGGTAGTTTCGACTCCAAAGTTAGAATACATGACATTTAATGGTGATCCTTTAAAGTTCATTTCTTTTATTCACAATTTTGAAACTCTGTTAGAGACTAATAATCCTGAGGAATAACGGAAATTACAACTTTTAATTCAGCACTGTAGCGGAAAGGCCAGGGAGTCCATAGAATGTTGTGTAAATTTACCTGTAGAGATAGGATTTGAAACGGCTAAACAAACTTTGCGTGAGAATTTCGGTAAACCTCATGTTATTGCAAAGGCCTATATGACGAAGTTAGAGAACTTACCTGTAATCAAGACTTCCCTGATGGAATTTGTTCGTAACTTGGAGATTACTAATAGAACACTAGCTGGAATGGGAAGAGACTACATGAATGATTTAGATCACATGAACACACTGAGGGAATTGAATTCTAAATTACCTATGTTTTTGAGGGCTAAGTGGACGGAAGGGGCTGGTAGAATTCTTGAAAGTGGTTCCAGACCAAGGTTTATAGATTTTTTACATTTTGTTAAAAAACGGGCAGTATTAGTTAACAATGAGTTTGGGGAAGACTTGTCGAATAGTTCCAGAGAGAAGAAATTTGATAGTTCCTATTTTAAAAAACCCAGACCACAGGCAACTCTTATGGCTACAACGAGTTTGAATACAGCTGATAAGATGAATTCAAGTTCACCCAACATTTCAAGATCCAGTGCTGAAAATTTTAGATCTCCTTGTATTTACTGTGCTGGTAGGCATCCTATTTGGAAGTGCAGTCAGTTTATAGATCTTGACAATAGAGGTAAAGGTAAAGTTGTTAGTGACTTTCAGTTATGTTTTAAGTGTTTAAATAAAGGACATTCAATTAAATTTTGTGATAAGCCTGGATTTAGATGTCGAGTTCCTAATTGTGAAAGGGATCATAATACTTTGTTGCATGATGTTAATTTGTTTAATTTGAGTCAGTCCAGTTCTGTTGCGAAGATAGAAGATTCCAAGAAGACCCCCATTGTTGTTACTGCTGCTGCTGGGGCTGGTGAAAAGAAGGTTTGTCTTGGAGTTGTTCCAGTTGTTGTTCAGAATAAAATCACCAAGAAAGAAGTCACTACTTATGCTTTGCTGGACACTGGATCCGAAATCACTTTAGTCTTGAAGAAACTTGCTGCTCGTCTTGATGTTAGAGGCAAGACTGATCCATTTACTGTTACAGGTGTGACAGGATCTAAGGATGTTGAAAGTGAATTAGTCGACATTGTCATCAAGTCTTCAGATGGAGATACATCAGTTGATTTTAGTGCCATCATTACCAATTCCCACTACTACGATTCCAAGGATGGAAGATTTACAGAAATGGTTACATTTGAAGGATATTGACTGTCCTGAAGTACAGATTCATGAGGTTACCGTTATTATTGGTGTTAAAGAAAGACCAAAACTTTTTATCCCTTTAGATTACAAAGGTGGAGAAAATGAACCAGTTGCTATTAAGTATAGGTTAGGATGGATTGTTATTGGACCAGTTGATCACCCAAGAGATTTTAATGAGTTTTGTTTTAATTTTGTTAGCTCTGTTATTAGTCATGAAGAAACTGGAGTTAAAGATGATCTAAAGGAACAGTTGCAGAGATTGTGGAATACAGATTTCAAAGATCTTGAAGTTATTGAAGATAAAAGGGCTTTAAGTATTATTGAGGATGGATTAAAGATTGTTGATGGTCATTTTCAAATTCCACTACCATGGAAGAGAATTCCTCCTGATCTAATTAATAATAGAGCTATGGCTTTGAACAGATTAGATGGATTATCTAAGAGGTTTAGAAGGAATCCTGATTTGTTCTTTAAGTACCAGACCACAATTAATGATTATATTTCTAAAGGCCATGCTGAGAAGATTCCAGAGGTGGAAATTGATTTAAAGGAAAGACCCATTTGGTATTTACCACACCATCCAGTAACTCATCCATTATAGCCAGATAAAGTTAGAGTAGTCTTCGACTGTGCAGCCCAACACCATGGAACATCGCTAAACAGTCAGTTATTACAAGGCCCAGACTTAGCTAATCACTTGATAGGAGTTTTATTTCGGTTCAGACAGGGAGAGATTGGGTTTATGGCTGATATTGAGGCTCATTTTCACCAAGTTAGAGTTGAACCAAAAGATTGTGATGTATTGAGATTCCTATGGTGGAGGAATGACAACATTAATGATGTTGTAGAAGATTACCGGATGACCAAACACATATTTGGCGCCACATCTTCACCTGCTGTTGCTAATTATTGTGT